TTCCCTCTCCTTGGATCTGTGACTAGCTGTGAGCCAATAGACTGTGGGGCTAGTGACGTTGCGTGGCTTCTGAGTTGAGGCCAGAAAAGGCGCTGCAGTCGCTGCCTTGTTTGCTGGCACACTCACACTCCGGCTGCCTTCAGCCACCCTGTAGCAGCCCCGCGGTCCTGAGGTCACCAGGTGGGGAGGAAACTCAGGCCACTGAGCTTCCCGAGAGGGAGGTGCCTGTCCGAACCCTGACATGCTCCAGCCTCCTCTGTTCTAGCTGTGGCCTTTGGCCCTGAATCAGAACCACCCCGCTGAGCCCTTCTGAGTTCATGGCTTTTGTGACTGTGAGATAAATGATGATAGTTTTTTATACTATAAGTTTTTTTTTTTAATCCTCACCCGAGGATATTTTTCCACTGATTTTTAGGGAGAGTGGAAGAGAGAGGGAAAGACAGAGAGAAACATCGATGTGAGAGAAACACACTGATTGGTTGCCTCCTGCATGAGCCCCAACCAGGGCCTGGGCCAGGGAAGAGCCTGCCACAGAGAGGAAGGGAGAGGGATAGAGAGTTAGAAACATCAATGAGAGAGAAACATTGATCAACTGCCTCCTGCATACCTCCAACTGGGAATGTGCCCGCAACCAAGGTACATGTCCTTGACCGGAATCGAACCTGCAACCTTTCAGTCTGCAGGCCGACGCTCTAGCCACTGAGCCAAACCAGTTAGCTCTCATTTATTTTCTTTTAAAAAATTGATTTTAGGGAGAGAGATAGATCCATTGCTCTAAGAATCCATGCATGCATTGGTTGACTCTTGTATGTGACTTGACCAGGGATTGAACCCCAAAACTTGGCGTATCCAGACGATGCGTATGTGCCCTTGACTGGAATCAAATCCAGGACCCTTCGGTCCACAGGCCAGCGCTCTACTTACTGAGCCAAACTGGCTAGGGCTACACCGTAAGTTTTGATTTATTATTTAGCAATGGTAACCAGAACAAGTAGGTAAAGTTATCTCCATCGTATAGATTAACACACTAAGGCTCAAGAAGGTGACATTTCCGCTCTGTCCCACCCCTAGCTAGCTTTAAAACTGAGATTTGAACCTAGTTTTTTAA